TCTGTGGGGGAGAGTGTCACCTTTGACTTTTATGGTGTTGGCATAAAATTCTTGGGTGATTTTGTTCAACCTATTTCCAGCACAGCTAGTGAAAAGATCTCAGCCCCTTTTGAATTTTAAAATTTCTGTCATGCACTATTTGCCTTCTTAGAATGTTGGCCTTGAAGTATTTTTCATAGGTCATGGATCAGAATCTAGGGTCATATGCAGGTGGAAGTCTGGATGAAGATACTCCAATAGTTCTAGCTCTCTTGGCTCTGGGGTGGTCTTCCTTGGGGTATTCACCATGATGTTGTAGAAAGAGAAGGAAATAATGAGTGAAGTATTCATTCAAGTTAGGCAACAATGGTGTATATCAAGATGCAGTGTAAGTTATTAATGTGTAGTAATGGTAGTTTCAAAGTTGTTCTAAATTCTCAGTGAAAATGCATATTAGAATAGATAATATGAGGAAGTATAGTATCAAAGTAAGTACTATACTTAATAAAATTAATGACTTTGTGGTTTAAGCATGATAGCTTTAAAGCAGCAATATTGACACAAAACATTCTCACAAGTACAGGTGGCATGTTAGGCTATGTGCAAATGGTATTAGGGAGGTGAATGACAGTTCTGCAGTGCTGGTGTAGTGAAAGGAAAGTGTAAAGAGAGGACTATACTGCCAAAGTGGTCACAATGGTAGGCAATAGTATCTATTGTGGAGTCTAAACCTATCATACTAGTTATGCGGCAGCAAGGTAAATGCAGGTGCAAACAATATAAAAAATAGCTATACAGTCCAAACTATTTTATAGCATGTGCATGTGAAAGTGACTGGTAGAGTGATAACTATGGAATGATGTTTTACCAAAGTGAGAATTATGTTCAAGTGAAAGACCTACTCCAAATACAGTGTGACAGATCACTTGTGCAAGTAAAGTAGATACAAATCACCTTAGAAATACAAATGAAATGCCAATTATGTACAAGAAGTACTAGGTAAACGCAAAAGGGAAAATTCCAATGCAAAATTTATAGAAGTTAAGCAATCTTTCAGACAGTGTAATAAAAGAACTAGTTAACTTAGATGTGTAGTGGCCACACAGCTGCTCAGGTAAACATTAATACACATTTGATTAAAAAAAGCTAGAGAAATGCAATTTGTACAATGAGAATATATTGTAAATTGATTGTTATAGAGAAGTATATTGCTGAAGTGAATACTATAATGGATGATAGTAGCTATTACGAAGTTCAAGCATGTTGGAGCATAATTATCAGAGATGTGTGGGCAACTAGCAGAAACATAGATCACAATACATTGTGCAGTATATATACAATGGTAGTGCAGTTCAAAGTAAGTTCAACAAGTTCATAGACACATAGTGCACAATCATAAATCAAAATTCACAGCACCAAGTACTCACTTTCATACATGACAATAACTACTATGTGGTCTACATATGCCAGAGTGAATCAAAGCAGAATTTTGTGTGATTCAATCATGGAGAATTGAATTTCAGGGCAACGTGATAACTATTTACCTAGAATGATCCTAGAATAAGCACCGTCATATCAAAGAGTTCAAAGCAATCACTATGGCATATGAAAGTGACTACCCTAGGGTACAATCATGACAAAATGCAGCAAATTAACCCAAGTAATTATTCTCATTGCCCTTCAATCATGTAATCAACCCTAAAGTCACAGGTTTTATGCAACAATTTGAACATAGGAAACCCTAGATCAAAAGCCCCAATTTGTAATACGAGAAACCCTAACGTAGAGAGTAAGAGTGAAAACTTATATGAATTGAGGTGCAGAATCAATGGAAATATATAGAGGAGTGGCAGTCTCAATGCAACAAATCAAATGCGAGGGAGAGAGTGCAGGGAAAGTCGAGATTGAGAGTGAAAGTGCTCAAACAGTGAAGGGGAAATTGGGCACTTTATATATATGAGTGATGGGCGTAGCCACTTTCATAAACAATAATAGACACGCACACTGGGTGATTGCAAAATGGTATTGCATGTGACTACTATTATAAGCGATAGTAACTACTACAGGGTGCTTAAATTCAAAAATGCTTGATAGGCTTACGCATGGCTACTATTGCAATCGATATTAGACACGCACATCACTTGTGTTCAAAAATTCTTTGCGTAACTATTATTGTTTACAATAGTATCTACTACAAAGAGCGCTCATCTTGTGTAATGGTTAGAATGTCTGCACTATCATAAAGGATAATAGACACGTGCATTCCAATCAGCCCAAAAATCTTAAAAGTAGTTACTATTAAGTGCAAAAGTGATCACTACAGAAAGCAAAGTCACATACCTATGTTGAAAGTAGCTACTATAACTTGGGAAAGTGGTTACCTTGATAATGGATTTTTAATTTCTTCTCCAAAGTGACTACCTTATGTTGTGGAAGTGGTCACTTCCCTATTACACTTGGACTTTCTTGAATTTATGCAATCCAAGAACTGCAATCTCTTGTTGAAAGATTGACATTATGCAGCAACACATGTCAAATGGAAAACTACATGCAGAGTAAAGTGGTTGTGTAGCAAAACTTATGCATTAAACTCATCAATTATCACAGCTCAAATGTAAGACTATTATTGAATGCAAAAGAACAACTAAAATTCTTATCTAAATTGTGAGTTACCTCTCACACAGCGCTTCTTTAGCGACACTAGCTTAACGTATAAAGTAGATTACTCAAGACAAGGGTTACGGTTGAGGTCTATGATAAGGGTGTGCAGGTCAATCTTCTCAACCTCTTCTAAGAGAATTGAATTTTACAGGAAGTGCTTTAGATGATGGCCATTTACTATAAAGCTCTTATAAGTGGAATCACTTTTGATTTTCACTGCACCATGAAAAAGTACCTTTATAACTGTGAATAGACCTATCCATCTTGATCTAAGCTTTCCTGACATGAATTTGAGGCGAGAATTGAATAAGAGGGCTTTTTGACCAACATAGAATTCTTTCCTAGATATCATCTTGTCATAGTATCTCTTAGTCTTTTCCTTATAAATTCTTGAGTTCTTATATGCCTCCAACCGCAGCTCCTCTAATTCTTACAGTTGCAACTTCCTTTGCTTTCCAGCTGAGTCGTGGTGCTGATTACAAATTTTCACTACCCAATATGCTTTGTGTTCTATTTCAACTGGTAGATGGCAAGCTTTTCCATAGATAACCCTATATGGAGACATGCCCAAGGGTGTCTTAAATGCAGTCTGTGTGCCCACAATGCAACATCAAGTCTGCGACTCTAATCTTTCCAGTGGAACTAGACGACTCTCTCAAGTATCTTCTTTATTTCTTTGTTAGAGAGCTCAATTTGTTCATTGGTCTATGGATGGTATGCAATGAAAACTTTGTGCAGAACTCCATATTTTCTCAGTAGGACCTCCATTGTCTTGTTGCATAAGTGACTTCCCTGGTCACAAATGATGGTTTTAGGGATCCGAAACCTGTAAAATAAGTTGGTACAGACAAAATCTGTAACAACCCTGACATCATTAGTCCTAGTGGCCTTAACTTTCACCCATTTTGAGACATAATTAACAACAAGTAATATGTACAAAAAACTAAAAGATGATGGGAATAGTCCCATGAAGTCAATATCTCAGACATCGAAAATGTCACAATATAGTATGGGCTATAGTGATCATTTCTCATGCTCTTTGGCATCTTTTCCATGTGAAATATGTTTGCCAAGAGTCCTTGAAAATTGAAGGCCAATACAATCCTACATCTAGCACCTTCCTTGTTGTCCTTTAAGGTTCAAGATGGCTTTTTACGGCTGAAACATGGTAGAACTATAGTATGGATGGGATTTCCTCATCAGGTACACACTTTCTGATAACTTGGTCATTGCAAAACTTTCACAAGTAAGGGTCATCTCACATATAATGCTTGGCATCACTCTTAATCTTTTGTCTTTGAGTTCTTGGTGCATTTGCTAAAAAAAATCTTACAGCTAAAAAATTAACAATGTTAGCATACTAAGGCACTATGAAGCATACAACTCTAAGAGTTGTTCATCAGAAAAATCATCCTTGAGTAGAATGGGTTCAGAGACTCCTTCTATTCTGCTCAGATAATCTGCTACCAAGTTCTGTGATCCATTTCTATGCTTGATCTCCAAGTCAAACTCTTGTAGTAAAAACATCCACCTTATGAGCCTTGGCTTAAAATCTGTCTTTTTCAGCAAAAACTTCAAAGCAGAATGGTCAGTAAATACCACAACTCTTGACTCTAACAAATATGACCTGAATTTATCTAGATCAAAGACTATGGCAAATAATTTCCTTTTAGTTGTGGTGTAGTTACATTGTGCAGGGTCTAGGGTTCTAGAAGCATAATAAATGACATGAGGGATCTTACCAACCCATTGTGCTAAAACAGCTCCCACTACATAGTTTGAAGCATCACACATCAACTCAAATGGCATCTTCCAATCTGGAAGTTGAAGAATAAGAGTTGTAGTCAAGGCTCTCTTTAGGAAGTCAAATACCTCTTCACATTTTTCATCAAAGATGAATTCAAATTCTTTTTACAGCAGCTTGGAAAAGGGGATGGCAATTTTTGAGAAATTCTTAATAAATCCCTTGTAAACTTTTGCATGGCAAGCTAACCTTTCTAACATCTGATCAATGAATAACAGTGGGAAATGACCCTTCCTTGTCGCCTAGTTAAGCCTATTATAATCTATGCAAACTCTACAACTGTTTTGAACCCTAGTAGGTATCAACTCATTCTTCTCATTCCTTACCACAGTGGGTCCAGATTTCTTTGGAACTACTTGGACCGGGTTGACCTAAATGGTATATGAGATGGGATAAATGATTCTAGCTTGGAATAACTTGGTGACCTCTTTCTTCACCACTTCCAATATGGTCGGGTTCACCCTTCTCTAAGGTTGTCTGACTGGTTTAACTTCCTCCTTTAATAAGATTTTGTGCATGCACAGGAGAGGCTGATTCTAGGAATGTCAGCTAGTGACTAGCATATGGCTCTCTTGTGCTTTTTGATCGCTTCAAGCAATCTCTCCTCTGAATCAATATCAAGCTTGTTGGAGATTATCACTGGAAGCTTTTCATTTGTTTCCAGATAAGCATATTTCATATGCTCATGTAAGGGCTTTAACTGTAATGTGGGAAGTTGCTTCATTGATGGAAGTGATTTGGCACCTTCATTTGTTATAATCTTTGCAACATTCATATCACGAGGGTTAGATTCAACTGTACTTGTTGTACTCAATACATCATATTCTACCTCTATGAATTTTTCAATCTCATCAACATCAGAATTTGAAGAATTTGCATTCAAATAATAAAAAATACAAGTGTCACACACAGAAGAATTATTACAAGATTCACAAATGGGAGTATCTATACAATAAAAAAAATCAAGAAAAGAATCTTCTTCTAAAAATTCAGAAAAATTATCATCTATCAAGGCATAAAAAAGATCAATGTGGAAGATAGAATATTCTTCAATTGGGTGCTTCATGGCATCCAATATATTAAAGTGCACAATATTGTCTCCAAAATCCATGGTAATTGTCCCAACATGCACATCAATCTTCGTTCTTGCAGTCTTCAAAAACTGTCTTCCCAAAATTATTGATGCAATACTCTTCACTGATTCTTTGTCCAGAATGTAGAAATCAGTTAAGAAAATAAGGTCGTTTACTCTCACTAACACATCTTCCACAAGTCCAACTGGATGTGTTGTGCTCCTATTAACCAACTGAATAATCACACCTATAGGCTGTAGAAGGCCAAAAGATAATGAGTAAAAATAGATAATAACATAACATTAATAGATGCTCCTAGATCTAGCATGCCATTATTAATCCTGTTACTACCAATAATGCATGGAATAGTAAATGTGCCTGGGTCTTTACATTTTTCAGGCATTGTGGACCTTTATTTCTAAAAAAGTGTAGAAACATTCGTATCCATATTTACCCTTTCATTGCCCTTCAGACGCCTTCTATGGATACACAAATCTTTCAAGAATTTGGCGTATCTAGGTATTTGTTTGATTGCATCCAGTAGAAGTATATTCACCTCTACCTTTCTAAAAGTCTCTAGAATCTCTTTGTCAGTTTCTTCAGACTTCTTGCTTGGCTGGATGGCTCTTTGAGGGAATGGTAGAAAAATTGTTCTTTCAACATTTTTTTGCTGCCTTTGATTGAGCAAGTGCAGGTTCTGGATGTTCTTGAATATTTTCCTCTCTATTTTCATCAACTATAGCTAGAGTACAACTTGTATCTTCCTTGGGCAGTTCAGGTTGTGGCATCACTTTTCCATATCTCAAGGTTATTGCATTCATATTTATGGTATTTACAACAATCTGTGCAGAGAGATTTCCTAACCCTTGAGATTGGATTTGGTTCAGAGAGGAGGCTAACTGTCCCTAAACCCTAAATGTCTCAAAAGTTATCTTATCTTGTAATGCTTAGGGAGATATTGGCCTTTTGGATAACATCTTCCATTGCAACCCTATAACTTTCCTTTGAATCTTAAGAAGGACTTGGTTTTAGAGATCTCATCTTTCATCCCTTTGGTTTTGGAAGACTCATTTCTAGGTAAGGGGAGTTAATCCCAAACCCTAACTCCTATTCATATGTTTTTTTTGCTTAAAAACTCAAAATTTTATCTTTTAGGTTGTAGAGCTTTAATGTTTTCCTAAAACTATAGTGTTAAATGGATTCATGGGCATGAAAAACTTATGATTTGTTTCTGAAACTACCCAAACAAAATTTCATAGTAAGAGTTATGAATAAAACATGTTTTAAAAAATTTCTACAATTTTTCTATTGTTTATTATGTATGTATAGTTAATATTGTGAATTATTATCTTGAACAATGTGCACTGGGGAGAAAGCTAAACTTTGGGATAGATTATTTTTATTAAAGACTGAGAGAGTATGATCTCTGACAATATGACTATAGTATGTGATTTAATTTTAATATATGTTAACTGTATGATTAAAGCTGAGTCTAGAGGTGTTTGACCTCTAGCAAAATTGTTTGATGATTTAATTGTAATTCAATGGAACATTATTATGATTGTATATTGTTGTGGATGTAAAATTAATTGTACGTAAGAGAAAATTGAAATGACTAATGGTGCAAATATTTAGAATATGGATTTAAAGTTATTGATATTGTCAAAATAAAAAGAGAATTGTTGAGTAATTGTGTCATGAAAAACTTATATAGGTTTGAGTATTAGCTGAAGGGAGTAGAAATATAACTTTTGAAATTATATGATTTGGATTGAGTCCATAGGTAGTTGACCTTGGACATATTGCATAGATTTGCATAAAGTGTTGTTTGAATTGTTAAAAAAGTGTGAAAATGACTGAATGTGAAAGAAAAACATGAAAAGAGAATTATTGAAAAATTGTGTGTCATGAAAAAGTAATGAAAATGTGTATGGATAATGACAGAGATACACTAAGAATGTGGAAGACAGAGTCAATTTTAGAAAAAACTTAGAGAAATGTAGGGTGGTGAATATTTTTCTTGAATTGCGCATAAACTGTTAAGAATAAAACCATCACATACCTCACATTCATTTTCTTATCTATACTCCGGGACCATTTTTTTGGTAAAAAGGATCGGGTTAGCAATACGTTGTATCCATATTGCTATGACTAACTAGCAATTATCTCTATGAAGACCTTACAGGACCTTAGGGGCAATGAATGTATAATTATGATATTTGTATTATAATATAGTGATCTTGTGATTATAATATGCGTTGTAATAGATTGATTGGTGTGATTATAATACAAATATTATAATAGATCGACGGGTGTGATTATAATGTATTGATTAATATGATTAGAATTCACGTATTATGGCATATCAATTGATGTAAGAATATATGAAATGACATGGTCTTAGTGTATATTTTGAAATATTAATTAGTGGGGCGGTGAATACTCACCCTTACAACTATTTTTCAAGAATTGAAATGAAGGATAATTCATTCTAGAATCATATTATCAGTAGTGTTGTAAGGAAAAATCTACTTTATTAGGATTTAAGTTGTATTAAGGTTATCATAATTTTGATTAAATCTTAATAAGAAATTAATTTTAGTATGTAAATAATTTGATGTCAAATTTAGACACTTAAAAGGTTTGATAAAGTTTATTATAAATAATGATTTGAATTATAAAAAAAAATTTAGATAAATGTTTGGGCCATATTTCTAAAGAAAGAATAATAAAATTATTAAAAAAATTAGAATTAAATTTTAGTGACCTCAATATTTTTGTGGACTGTATTAAAAGAAAAATAAATAAAACATGTAAAAAAAGAAGTGTAAAAAAAGAAGCATAAAAAAATCTAACTTCTTGGAATTGTGCATATTGATATAGTAGACCTTTTAACGAATGACCACTCATGTTATGACATGTTCACTCTTTGCACGAGAAATCTCAAGTAATGGATGTCTTAAAGTCTACTAAAACGAAGTAGAAAAACAAATACTCAATCTCTTTTTAATATCCATAGAGTTTTACCTCCAACTCCTATCTATAGTATGCTTAAATCTTGCTTAAAATGCTTAAAGATAGAAAATTATTTTATCTTAAATTGTGGCAATGACTTTCCCCTTACTACACATACAATCCTAAATATTTAGATTTTAATTGTCCTTAATATTTTATAGATTTAATAGCAATAGCATTAATAAAATGGTAGACATAATATAACATATCAAATATGTCTTTAGCTGACATTAATTTTGCACATCTTTTATTTCGTACTTTTGCTATGATACCAAAGAATATGGATTAGAAAGGACCTCCTTACAAAGTTCCTGGCGATGATTATATATATATATATATATAACAATTATTTACTAAAATTATTAATAAATTTGATCTCTCACTCAATATATACATATATGTTATCTGAAAAGTCAATATACTACGAAACATAAATCACAGTCGTGAGAAGGATATAAATTTTAAGCTAAATGCAGAATAAAATATTGTAAAATGAAAAGCTCGAATGATGCATTAAAAGAAAAATAATCAACTCAATCAAAATTTTAAAGCATTAGTTTAGACTTTTAGTTGAATATATCTATACTAATCTATACTATTAGAAAGTCATGTTTTTTAATAAATTCTGTGGGTATTTCTTGAAGTTTTGCGATAAAATCAGCACAAGTCAAAAAAGAAAAAGAAAAAAATAAATCGTAACTTTGAAGTAACATGCAAACACTTCACCTTTTATTGAAGTGATGGTTTCGATTACTTTCTGCTCAGATTCTCAATTGCTTGAAGAATTGAACTTCTAATTTTGACACAGCAAAATAGCATCAGCAACGCCTCACCCACGTAAGAATTCATCTCAATCTCATCTTAAGACACAAATTTAGTATAGCTATGAACTTTGTTTTTATTTGATCCTTGCGTAAGTTTAATTTGTTTAATTATAAGACAAAAATTGTAAATGGACAAGTTTGATTTCTTACAAGTTACCATACACCATGTGCCTTTTCCATTCTCTTAAGTCTTAATCCCTCTCCTCTTCCTAGTGTAGGGCCTATATAAAATGAGTATTTTTTAACCAAAAAAAACATTTGTCTAATTTTTTTTCCATTTATATAGTAAATCAAAATCAAATGATTAGTAAGTTCTTACTTTTATGTCAATATTAATAATGGTAATTAGTTTTCCTCGTTTAAGATGTTCATTATTACTTTCTTATTATTTTGTTTCTTTTAAACTTACATGTAACATTACATATCATAGGTTGAAGGATGTAAATTGATTTTTTTTTTCATCTATTTCAGAGACTTAAAATTTGTAAACTCTTCCCTAAATGATTAAAATATTATTTTCCTAACCATATTTTTGTAACTTATAGTCAAATTCATGTTCATACTTTGAAGTTAATTTGATATAAAAAATGTATTATGACATTGTAGTTACCTATACTCAATTGACTAATTATGCATAAATAAATTCTTATCTTTTATGATTTAAGTATGTTTTTAATTTTTGCATTTTAACAATTTTTTTCAGTTTCTTTGAATATTTTTATTAAAAGATTATCACATTTCAATCTTTGATCAATTTTTGAATAAACTATATTAATAAAAAGGATAAAATTATTAAAATATAAAAACAAAAAACACATTTAAATTTTGTATTCAAATATTTATATATAGAGAGAATATTTCTTTTGTTCAAATTCGAGGCCATAGTCTTACTATAATTTATTCTATTTTTTTATTAAAACATTTTAACTAAATTAAAAGTAGTTAATGTATTAATTTTAAAAAAATTAAGATATTCATATAAAAAATTTAAAAAACTCAACAATAAAAGATAAATATATAAAAAATAACAAATACTCTTAAAATTTTATAAAATAATTTATATTAAAAATAATAAAATATTTAGAAGATTCATATAAGATAGACTGAAGAGGACCAAGCAAGCACGACAATAGACTCACCTCCCTAACCCCAAAACGACAACACGTGTGACAATAGAAACGGGCCGGCAGCGAACGACAGCGTCGTGCCTTTCCCGAAGCGGTGGTGGCCTCCAAAATCCAAAGTTTCCAAAATTCCAAACGAACCCCTTCTTTTCAAATTTCGGTCCCGTTTCGAAATTTCGTACTAATACAAGGATCTCCAAGAAAAGGAAAAAAATCAAAAAGAAAAACACAACACATCCAGGATCAGAGAGAAGGAGGAACCGAAACTCAGAACACAGAAGAAGAAGAACATAGAGAGAGAGAGAGAGAGACAGAGAGAGACGGAGAGAGACAGAGGGTGATGACGATGGACAGAGAGAAGGAGAGAGAGATAGAGCTAGAGAGTGCAATGTACACGAATTGCTTGTTATTAGGTTTGGATCCGGCGATTATCGGAGTCGGAGCATCCAATGCAACTCCTCGGGTCGGACTCTTCCGTCATTCGAACCCTAAATTAGGGGAACAGCTTCTCTATTTCATCCTCTCTTCCCTCAGAGGACCAATTCAATCTGCTAAGGTATCGCAATCCACTCTTATAATCCCTTATTTCCATTCCTTTTATGATCTCTCGCTCTAACCCTCATTATTGTTCGATCTTTCAGGATTTCGATAAGGTTTGGCCAATTTTCGATTCCGCGCAATCGCGTGATTTTCGTAAGGTGATTTCTCTTTTTTATTTTATTTTAATTTTTTTGAAAAATAATTTGGCGTGAATTTGAATGGATGTGTTTGAATGATTTTGGATGGTGCTGGAACGTGGTTCTATAGGTTGTGCAAGGGATTATTAGCGAGCTTGAGTCGCAGGGCGCGCTTCCCAGGAGCAATTCCAGAGTTTCTTCACTTGCTACGTGCTGTGGACCTAGGTTGGTACATTCACATGTAGTTGATTGCACAGTGTTTTTTTTTATTTGTGCTTGTGTGTAGTTGGTTGTCTGATCCCCACGAGTAGATGAACACTTATGGGTAAAATGGATTTAATTTTAAGGGTTTGTTTTTCTAGTTTGTTATTAGGTAAACTGATGCGTTTTTGGTGGCTAGAGTGAGGTGCTTTTATAGTTAATGAATAGATATTGACAAAGTCAGTGATGTCATGGACTATTGGTAATCTACTGTAACTTGAAAGAGTTATTTAAAAAACTTCTGAACTAAGGAAACTAGTTGGAGGTATTGTGTAAGTGGAGGTTTTACCTTTGTCAACGTTGCTTTATGATAATGCTGGTGGGTAAGGAGCTGACAAGAGCATAAGCTAAGTGTTGTAGAGATGAGGATGTTGCGGTGGATGAGTGAATATACAACATAAGTTCAGGAGTGGGTGAATTTGAGAGAAGGTAAGGAACTAAGGATTGAGAAAAAGATGGTAGAATCCTGCCTAAAGTCGTTTGGTCATGTAGAAGAATGGTTACAGAAACCATAGTGAGAAAAATTAGTCAGACAGAGGATGGCCCAATTATTACAGGTAGAGAGATGCCTAGAAAAACTGTGAGTGAAACTTGAAAAGGACATAGATCTAAATGGCCTTTTTAAAGATGTGGTTTTGACTATTTGATCCTTAGAGAGGAGACACTGCGGCCAAGTGGGAAAAGGCTTTCGTTGCTATGTTGTTATAATAGTCTTATATGCTAAGATGGTAATGGGAGCTCACTGTTAGTGTTTGGATTCTGTTAAAGACAGTTCTAAAGTTATTTAAATGTACATGTTGATGTAGGTTTGTTGAGCTTCTATGGCAACTTTCACTGCATGCTTTACGAGAGGTTCATCGACGGACATTTACTGCTGACATATCTTCTAACCCATTGCCTGCGCCATTGACTGATGTAGCATTCTCACATGCCGCTACTCTACTTCCTGTTACAAAGGTATTAGTGAAACTCCATACAAAGTTTTGGAAAGGATGAATTGACTGTCATTGTGTGCTTATGTGACTGTAATTGCTACAATTATGACTAGTTTGACATGTTTGCTGTAGAATGAAACATTGTCATTCCAAATATTTACAAAAGACTGTTGTCCTTTTGGTGTAACTGTTCTTGAATCTGATGTCCTTTAAAGTGCCAAAAGAATACCAATATTACTCTTTGTCTGTTTCCTTTGAATTCTGTAATTCATTGTCTTTTGCTCATACTGAAAAAAATGTTATATATATATATTATTATTTTTTTCCTTGTGTTCTTATGTCGATAATGTTACTTGGTCTTAATTAATGCAATTGAGTCTTTGGTCTTAAACAGGCAAGAATAGCCCTTGAAAGAAGAAAATTTCTGAAAAATGCAGAAATGGCTGTACAACGGCAAGCTATGTGGTCGAATTTGGCTCATGAAATGACTGCTGAATTTCGTGGCTTATGCGCTGAAGAGGTATATAATATAATATCTATAAGTGAAGGCTGTGTACAAAATATTGCATAGACATGTTCTTATAGTACATACCTCCTCTTCCCATCAAGAGAATTCCTTATTGATTTGTCTTTTAAGCAATTATAATGAGAAACCTGAATTTCAGGCTTATTTGCAACAAGAGCTGGAAAAACTCCATGACTTGAGGAATAAAGTGAAGCTGGAAGGAGAGCTCTGGGATGATCTCGTATCCAGTTCAAGTCAGAATTCCCATTTAGTATCAAAGGCTACACGCCTTTGGGAGTCTTTATTAGCTCGTAAAAGTAAGTGCAAAGGTTAATACTTTGCTTAGTCTTTGCATTTGTCTAATTGTTGGGGATATATTTTTACAATTGTATTCCTGTATTAATAAATTGAATAATAATAAATTTTTTCTTTCCTCATTATAGTCTAGCCTGCTCATGCCATTTGTCTGTGGTATAGCTGGGCAGAATTGCAGGCTTTCAATTTTTTTCCCTTTATCATTTATGATATGCCCCTTATGTTTTTGTTCCTAATGTGCGATGGTGATAAACCATTGGTATTGGAATCCTTTCACTTAAGGATATTAAGGTTCCACACTTTATCTCCCTACCACCTACAATTCTCATTTTTCTTTTCTTTTGTTTTTTTTTAAACTATTATATAAAAAAGATTAGCTGATAATGAATTGAGTTTTATGTACAGGTCAACATGAAGTTCTTGCATCTGGCCCTATTGAGGACTTGATAGCTCATCGAGAGCATAGGTAATGTAGTGATGTAGCTTGCCTTGCCTTTCCAATACCTTTAGACCAAATTTACTGCTTACTTGTTGATACAAAAATTGCAGGTATCGAATCTCTGGATCATCTTTGCTTGCGGCAATGGACCAGAGTTCTCAGGCTCCTTATTCAGATATATTATCTGGTCAGCCTGGGGATTTGCCTTCAATGCAAGTGGATAGCACAGAAGAGAATGATGGCTCACATTTTAGCAATGAGACATTGACTAGAGTGGATGACAGAACTGGGAGAGTCCACCAAACTGTTGACGTAGCAGAGGTTATACGGCGATGGACCCATGCCTTGCAACGTATCCACAAACAATCACTTCATCTGGTATGCTCTTCACAAGCTTTCCTTTATAGATGGTACCCTCTGCTCTTATGGTTCCTTTCTTTCATTGTTGTATAGAGTTTATGGTTGCTAATGGCAGAAAACATTCAAACTGCCAAAGAAACATGTTACTTTTTAAAAAAATCAAATTTATTAAAATGAATACATGAAATGTGAACAAGATGTATTGATATCTTAATTCATGAAAAATCATCAGAAAACTGTAATAAATTTCAGCTGAAACAAAGAGATGCACGAAGAAAGTCGTCAACAACGAACTCTATTTTACCAATAGTTAACTAACATTTCCTCAATTCAGATTAGTGCTTAACTTGACTGTGGCTAAACATCCCACTTTCTCCACATTCACACTATTCAGTCATTCTCTTAATAATTTTCAAATTGAGCTAAGCTGAGGCTTGAGCATTGTTTTTCTCGGTAAGACAAGGGTTCAATTTGAATTTGGTATTTTCTTGTTGAAGCCAAATCTGAACCCTGAAGCTGAGATTATTTTGGGTGTGTTAAATTGAATGAAATGAATCAATAAAACCACCCTGTTTACCCCCCCTCCCCCTCAGCATTATATTTTTTTTTGCTGATATGATACCTAAATGATCCTTAAAATGTCAAGCCCAGTGGTTGACTGAAAAAAATGGGGTAATCTTGTGGATTCCATTGTAGTACTAAAATTGTTGGCTGCCGTAGTCATGGTGGACACTGATGCTACCTGCCAGCCTGAAGACCCTGTATCATGCAGGTTTTAAGGCAGGGAATCAGGGATCCTCTTCACTGCTGTGCGTGTCATTCTACCATGGTGGATGACAACGGTTTTTGTATCCTGTCTGTTTTCTCTATATTTTGGTTCTTCCAGAGAAGAGAGAGTTAGGTTTAAATGTCTTGAGTTTAAAGTACTTCATCACATCTTGCTAATTGCCGCTATGTGTATTTTAAGAAACACTGTTACTGCATGCATACATTTATTTATTAATTTAAGTTGAGGCTTGACTCTTGAGGGTTTCATAAACTGCTTTTATGAGCAGTAAATCACTAGGTAATTTGAACTTTCTGAGTATGACTCCAAAACAAAAAACAGAACTTCTACAACTAAAATCAGATTAACATCTAGCTCTTCATAGTTGTATACTACTTTTCTTTTACATTTTTTTCCAGTTAACCTCTGAATATTTTGATACTGTGATATGTTTTGTTTGATAAATTAGATATCAACTTCATTTGATGAAATTTATTGATGTTACTTATGATCATTGTCTGTGTCTGACACCTCTATATGTACCTACCTATATCCTACAAGTTTTGCATTAACCAAGTGGCTTTATTTTTGGGATAAGAAGCCAAACAGCTTTGGCTATGTTCTTTGTTAAATATCTTCATTGATATTTGTAAATTCTTGGGTGCTGATCTTATATTATCAGTTAGCAATCTAGTATTTTACTTTGGTGAATGTTATATTTTGGTAATAATACAGACCTAGAGTAGAATTATAAAGCTATAAAATCATGATAAACTTCTTTTCTTTGCATGAGTTTGGTTTATGTTGAGTTATTCCTTGATATGATTTTGTAATAAAATCTGCATCAGAATCAGGTTGTAATCAAATCTGATTACTGCTCAGATTATAGCAAATTAGGTTTTTTTTTTTATTATTATGGATTCTATTCCTTATTTACAGCAGATTGGTTTACTTTTTAAAGACCAACTCTGCCTTTAAATTAGTACTTGTATTGCATGATTCAATCATCGAAGAATAATAAAATTATCTTTTCTGTTCTAGGTTAATAAGTGTGTTTGCCCCATTTTTAATGCATTTTAATACTGTATAATTGATGCCTGTTGTTTATAGTCCAAACTTTTGATAATTGACTTTTGTTGCTCCAAATACTTAGTGATTAAGTTTATTGATGCAATTATGTTTTAATTCTAATTTCTCTGCAATCATGCTTATTTTTATTATATTTTATTGAGAATCATAATGCGTAGTAGCAGTAAGTTGATTCATGTCATACGAATTATTCTCTCTTTTACATTACGTGTAGAAACTTCTAACCTTTACTATAATCTATAGGCAAAAGCTAATGATGGAGAAGGTCCAGATATATTGCGCAGTGCACAGGAAGGGGGTTCTAGTGGTCATGCCGAGTCATTAGCAGCAACCCTTGCTGAGCATCAGCAACATTTGGCTAGCTTCCAGGTAATGCAGTAATACATGTTTTAAAATGTGCAAGATTCCACCAAGATAGAAGTGCTTCCAAAGCTTCATTTTAGATATACCTTATGCTTTAAGGCCAAATGAAAAATAATGTCCTTCATGATTTTTGACTCTACTCAGTTGATTGACCTTTCTGGAACTTATTTTATGCAGAATGTTAGTATGTTACCATGATTTACTGGAAATTTTACTTTGCTTGGGGAGAATTGTTTGAGAGTGGGCAAATATTTCTGTTTTGAGATCTTTTTAGCACAGTAGTCGATAGCAGCAATAGCGGTTGCTATTGCGGAGGAGCGGAGTGGAGCAGCTCCTTGCTGCGAATCCAGGTTCATTGCATCGCGTTTCCTGTAGCAGCTGTCATGCTGGGAGCCTGGGAACAGTGTAAATTGCAGCCATCGCAGCCCCTATATCACACAGGGAAAAAAGTCAAGTTTTCCCTCTTTTTCTGAATGTTGGAATGCTTTTAAGGAGGCAATTTTGGGATTTCAACCCCCCCTTTTATGTTGCTGTTATCCGTGCTTCTCCTGTCTTTGACAAATCAAATCAAACCCTCGTGATTTCGCTTCGTCCTCCTGCTTGATTGCCTTGTCCTTCTCCTTTGTCCTCCATCTCTGACATTGTTTTCTGGTGCAAGTCACCATTTCTGTCCAAGTTCCAGTCGTCTTCTTTATCTCCAGCAAAACCCAAACTATTTCTAACATGATCCAGACATTTTTTGGTGAGACCAGATGCATTAGAGTTTTTTTCAGTGATTGACCACTCTAATTTCTATTTTGATTTTCTTCTATGTTCTATTCTGTTTTTCTTCTTTGAACCAAAATTTGAATATCTGAAACAGAGACTTAAATTTGTTTGGTTCCTTTATTTTGTTGTTATTGACATTTGACTTGTGTTCAATGTTATCAATGGCGGATGGCGGCGGGAAACTCAAAAAACTGCCATAAAGTTATGGCGGCCGCCGTGGCGGGTTATGGCAGATATAATAAAATATATAAAAAAATACTATAGGTCACAGAAAATAATAGAAAATAATTAACTCAAAATATATGTAACATAACCTCCAATCTAAAGTATAATTCAATACAAAATATACAATTATCAAATGTCAAGTTAACAATAAAAATAAAGATTATCAATTTAGTCCTCTTCTTCAACTCTAACGTAATCATCCACTTTTTTATCCACCAAGGCATATCCCTCCTCCTCTTCTCCTTCAGACTGTGGAAGATTAAATTTTAATTCATCTTCTGTTTCTTCCAACATCTCTTCATTTTCTAATTCTTTATCATCATCTTCAAGAACTATTTTCTCTTTTCCTTTTGCTGTTGAACATGCCTTGATCTTGGAAACTTTTGCAGCTTTGATAGTGATTCTACTTGATGAACTCTATGTTGTAGGCTCTCCAATTCCAGAAGCTTCATAAACAGTCGCCCAATTTAAAGTGTTATCACCATAAAAAATTAAGTCATTTCTAGCATCCTCATCTAGAGCATCATCATCTATTTCTCCAACCAACCACTCATTACACTCATCAATATCATTGAGTGTAATTGGATCAATTACATCTTTAAGATTGTAACGTTCTTTGAGTTGTTGGTTGTATTTCACATAAACTAAGTCATGTAATTTTTTGTGATCAAGCCTATTTTTCTTCTTTGAATGAATCTGCAACGTGAGCTTAATTATAAGAATATTAATTAGTTTCTTTCTAAGTTCTAAAAGAAAGTAGTAGGCTCGAGAAATAAGAAATTACTTGCTCAAAAACACTTCAGTTGCGTTCACATCCGGATGCACTACATGTTATGAAGCACGGGTACTCCAATTTTGTCAAAGTACCGGTACGGGGTACGAGTACGGGTACGCCTGGGTACGTACCCAAAAGATTTTGCAAACAAAAAAAATGGATACGTTGGTGGGTACGTGGGGTACATTAATGGGTACGAGAAAGGGAAATTTTTTGCAAAAAACCAGTTAAGGTTAGGTTTTATTTTGGGCCCAAAATCAACCCGACTTTCTCCCAACGTTTTTGCAGTTCACCCTCCACTTTCAGCCTCCAAACCGTGCTTCCCAACTTTTGCAAAACTCCTCCCATCCTCCATCAATCTTCCAACTTCAAGCTCCTCCATCATCTTCAACCTACAACAACTCTTCAATCCAACATCCAGCGTACAACATCCAAGTATCCAACACATCCAGCAGCTGCAGCAGCGGTGTTCAGGGCGGCATCCAGCGACGGCGGCGGCAGCGGCGTCCAGTAGCTCGGTAGCGTGTCCAAATATATCATATGTTAAAATTTGTGTTGTAAGATTTTTTATCTGTGGATAAATATATGCTTTTTTTATGTTATATAATATATATGTTAAAATTTGTGTGCTTTTATTTTATATATAATTTTTTATATTTTTTTAATCGACGTACCCGTACCTTACTTTTTCAAAAATGCCGTATCCCGTATCCGTACCCGGTACCAGTACCGTACCCGTATCCATGCAACATAGACTACATGTCAAGCTCAAAATTTTGATAGCTAGTCTCTAAAGATGAAGTATAACCTTAAAATTGAAATATTGAAGAATTTGATGAATTACAGGGAGCAATGCTTTTTCTGTGATTTTGCAAAGTCGGATCCAAAGAGACCACCACCGCTCTTATAAATTGGTAATTCAAGTAATATGCTTTGTTGCACATCTCGATTTGGCATCAACCTCTTGATACAATCATACAAACCATTTGTAACTTTCAAATCAAATTCAATTTGAGGGTTGTCATAGTAAAATTCTAGGTTTAAAATGTAACCAGCTGCATGTAATGGACGGTAAAGATGACAAGTCCATCTGTTACCAATGATTGCAAACACATCTTTGTATTTACTTTCATTATTTTTGAATGACTTTATAATAGCTTCTTTACTTTTTTCCATTGCTTCATAAATATACCCCATAGCTGGTCTTCTTTTCCTATCAACCAAACATAACACTCAGACAAGAGGAGCCATGATTTTCAAAGTATACACCACATTATTCCAAAATACAGGATTTAATAAAATTTTGGTTGCTTGCTTCCCTTTAGCTTCCTTTGATCACTTGTTTTTACACCATTCCTCAGAAGTAAACATCTTTTTAAGATTTGCTTTTTCTTGGTGAAGCCTTTCTAATGATAGAAAAGAAGTTGCAAATCGAGTAACTGCATGTCTTACCAATTCCCTCTTGTTTGTAAAATTTTTCAACAAACTCAAGGCACTTGAATAACTGTAGATAAAGCCAACAACCGATATTCCCCTTTGAATTGTCTTCTTTATCAAAGGAAGCTTTCCAATATCTTCAAGCATAAGATCTATGCAATGAGCTGCACGAGGAGTCCAATAAAGATGTTGTCTTTTCGCTTCCAACATCTTACCAGCTAAGACATAATTGCTTCCATTATCCGTTATCACTTGCACAACTCTATCTTCTCCAATCTTTTCCACAAAAGCATCAAGCATCTCAAATAATTTTTCACCGGTCTTCACAAAATTAGATCCATCAATAGACCTCACAAACATAGTACCAGCAGAAGAGTTGACTAAAAAATTAATCAAGCATCTTTGCTTTCGATCAGTCCATGCATCTAATATGATGGAACAGCCATGTTTGTTCCATTGCTCCTTATGATCTTTCACGAGGGAATCAGTATATTCTAGCTCTTTCTTTAGAAGTGAAATTCGAATATCATGATAACTTGAAGTTGGTAAATTTGGACCGAAAGCACCAACAGCTGTAAGCATTTCTTGAAAGCTCTTCATTTTAATGAGGTTAAAGGAAAGACCAGCTTGATACCAAAATCGAGCTATGTATTGATGGACCTTTGTTTTGGTTTCTTTGTCACAAACTTCTCTTATATCTGCTTGTCTCAATTTTAACTTTTTCCTTTTCAAAATTGCATTTTTTGGCTTTCTACAAAACAAATCCATTGGCCCTTTCTGATTACCCATGGCAATAGTATGTTTGGGTATCCTCCTCATCCTCACTTTCATCATAGCATATACTTTCAAAGCTTCTCACGTTTGGCATTTCAAAGTTGTTTTGACTCTTTTTATCCTTTTGATATGCCTCAATCTCTTTTCTAACTTCTTCAGGACACTTGGGACAAGCTCTCACGTTACCTTTCCTTTCAATCAAATGTTGTTTCACTCTAGTGATTTCAGCACTCATAACTTTTCCATAAAAGTTACATACAATGTTGTTTGTATTACCCTCTTTCAACGAATGAGCGTATTTCCATCCCGGGTCGGATCGATTAGAAGCTCTTAATGACGAAGATTCTTGTTGAGCCATGTTAAGAGAAGCTGAAATAAAGATAATGGGCTTTTTTGAGGATAAACAGAGAAAAAATAGAAAGGTGGCAAAGGAAAAATTGAACCATGGAAAGAGAAAAACAGAAATGAAGAAATAAAAAAAAAAACTGCAACAGAGAGGGAAAAACAAAAAAAGATGTCAACCAGAAAAAAGGGGTCGCCGGAGATGGAGGTTCAGGTCGCCGGAAATGGAAGTTCAGGTCGCCGGAGATGGAGGAGATGTCGTGCCGGTGAACAGAACAGAGCGGAGTGGAGAAATAAGGGTAGATCTACTTCGGAGAAGACAGATCGGCGAACAGAAATAAAAAAAGATGATGTTTGAGAGAGGGATGATCGAGCGAAGATGGGAGACGATCAGAGAAATGGGAGATGAGAGATGAGGTAGAAGGGTTTGAGTGAAGGAGAAGTGAGACATACCTTAGTTATGCGCGGGTCAGCCTTGGACGGGTCAGCCTTAAACAGGTCGGGTTTGGGCCCAAATAATGAAAATCGCCATTTTTCACAAATTTTCACGCGAAACTGCCATTTAATGGAGGCGGTGTAACGGCAGGGTTGAAATCTGCCACCGCAAACCGCCATGGCGCCGCCAAACCCGCCATTTAATAACACTGCTTGTGTTATGTTCTCAAACTTCCACTTCTGATCATTAATTATGCATGTCTTTAATTTGGATATTAATCTTGTATTTTTCAGCATATATATATATATATATATATATTTATATTTGTAGCATAATTTATATTAGGCATATTTTCAAACTTCAGAATAGTGGCCATCTCGCTATCGGCTATGCTGCTATAGCATTTTTGGGTTTAGCCGCTTCGTGCTGCTATCTTGGATTGACTACTATGCTTTTTAGCATACAGTGTATGTACTAGGTATTAGATTTATGTAAATTTTTTTGCCAATTTTTTAATCAGTGTTGGCTTGTATCTTTTGGGTGCAATAATGTGAAAAATTAGGTAAGGCATCAGTATGTTAAAAATTGAGATAAGGAAAAATGAGTATGTTAAAAATTAAATGAGTAAGGCTTTTGAGTAGTTTTACCGAAATCTTGAAACAAAAATTGGAGAATGAAAGGTATATTAGCTTGCCAAAAATAGGGAAAGAAAATCAAGAGGTTTAAATAAAGTAAGATGCATCAAAGCTAATGAAGGAAAAGTTTTGGCTACACATCAAGATATCAAAGAGACATGAAGGAGATATTTTTACAAACTTTTGGATGATAGGCATGGATTAATTGATAATATAGAAGGTTTAGAAACTTAAGTAGAGGATAAAAACATGGCATGTATCATGTCTGACAGCACTGGCATTATATATAGAAAGCAAGAGTTTTTTATGCTATAGAAGAGATGCATTCCTTTTATCACCTAGCTGCTAATTCTATGCATAAATATTGATATACAATGTTTTGAATCTGTCTTTGCATTATCTCTTCCCATTTTTTGCAGTAGGAGTCGAATACCTTATATAGAGTTGACCCGTAATTGCTGTTCCTGTACTAGAAAGAATTCTCCCTAGGAATTTCACATTGTTGCATTTTCCATTTCCAGGTACTAATTAACCAACTCAAGGACGTTGCTCCAACCATACAGAAGTCCATATCTGAGTGTACAGAAAAGGTTAACTGCATAGCCTCCAATCTACCTCCAATGAATAGACATCATGGTCGGTCAACGTCACCTATCCAAACACAGAGTAGTGGGAGGATGGTATTCTACTATTTTAGTATAATGCAATTGCTGCTTCTTTTATGTCTTAATAACATATCTGATCTTACCTCTACTTTGAATATCACATTGATATTGAATCATTGATCAGGACAATAACATTGATGATGTTAATGAGGTGACTTCAAGAATATCTAATATTCAGCTTGACAAAGTTTCCATTAGTCCTCCAACTTTAAAGCTTCCTCAATTATTTAGCTTGACCCCATCTTCTGGAAAAGCTGGAAATGTGCAACGGCGGCATGGTAATGCACCTCAAACCAGCCAAACAGAGAACCTCCCAGATAGGAAGTCTTTGGATCCTCCTTCAAATAATGAAGTAGCAAGCTCAGCAGAAGGTATGTTTTGTCTTCTAAAGCTTTTGTCTAAATATTCTGTTAGAGCTATAAAATCACCCTGGAGCCTCCATCCGATAGCCCAGTTTTAGGAGAGTTGGTCCTTGACATGGCATCAAAGCCTCTATGACCAAGGGGTAAGGAGTTTGACCCTTGCCTTGCTGACCCCCATTCTTCATAATTCAATTAAATTTCAGCACTGTCCATTCTCTAGCCTAAAAGAATTCTTGCTTGAGCTTGGTTATTAAGAGATATAAAATCATTCTTGGGCAGGGCCCACCTAATAGCATAAGCTTTTATTGAAGCTTATGGTTTTCTTGTGGGGATTTCATCAATGGTTTAGAAACAAAGTGGCTGATAATGCTCTATTTTGTAGATAGTGACAGTTCCTATGTCCAGAATTTGAAGAGGTCAGTAAGAGAAGCAGCACTGTCATTACGGTCGTGCAATTCAGAGTCATCACGGGATAGTCAATCTGATGGAAGTTCGGAGCACTTCTTTGCCCCTCTTTCAGAAACTGGCTTTTCTCATTTAGATGCAGAAAAAAGGGCAGCTTCATTGAGGAGCAAAAGATTATTTGTATCCCAAATGGATGATTCCTTGCTCGAGAGTCATGCTTCTGGTGGGCATGGGGAGAGCAAGTTTGATGAATTTCCAGATATGTTGAATGATTTGGAAAGGCTTTCTGATTATGACAATGTAAATGGGTTTCTCTCTTATACTGGTTCTAATGCAACATCTGATGCACAGCGGTCAATTTTTGACTTTGAGGACGCACAGGATCAAGTCTTCTCACCACCTCTGTTAATGGACTCATCACTTTTGACAGATCCATTTGAAGACTTGCTGGGTACGTTGAATTTTTTTACGAACTGTTTTAGTTATAGTAATTAGGGTTTTGAGCTAATGAGTTTTAAATGCTTTGCTAACTTAAAATATAACAGTGCAATTGGGTTTTGAGGGGGGAGAAGGGGGACCGTTTTACTTCAGTATTTAGGATGAAGTCCATAGACCCATCCAGTGTTCTCAAGATGAGGGAATCCATTTTTTAAGTTTGTTTCTTTATTTACCCCTTTCTATAGGGTTGTCCTCTCCATCTTTTGCAGAAGAAATTACCTTTGCCTATTTTTTATTGAGTAGGATTAATAGACATTCTCCTGATGTGTACATTCAAGGGCTAAACAAGAATAAGAATATTGGGTGGACTAAAGCTATATTACTTTTGCATGACTTATAGTCTGATAAAATGGGATAGTGAGAGACGCAAAAGAACCTTAGATGAAGTTATTAAAAGAAACTTTTTAATAAATCAGATTTTTGAAAACTTGGTTTATGACTGATAAGACGTGGTTGTTGTCATTGTTTGATGTGTGGTGCCCCATTCATACATTTATACCAGAAGCTTCTAAACTTAGCAACTCTTTGCGACCTCTTACATGTTGGTTAATTGATGAGTTAGGAATTTTGTTGTTACAGCTCCCCTCTCAGAGACTGAAACAGCCATGATAGATCATTGAAATTTTTCTGGGCAACCTCCAAAACTTCATTGAAGAAACGGCATTATCAATGTGGTGGATTGCTATTCTTTTGTGGGGATACTTACTCCCTTCACCTTTTATAACACGAAACTTGTATGATTTATGTTGTTCTTGTTTGATATATTTTCACCATTCTATTTACTCTGCTAATGCCCTACTACCGGGAGGGAACCATGAATGGCCTGTGTTCTTCGTTGTTGAATGATGATTTACTTTGGAATGAAGATGCTAAAATCCAAAATGCAAGCTGGATTGGAGGGTGAGGTTGTCTTCAACCAACACTTGAATTTACCTTCACATTTTCATCCACTTGGGTAGACTGACATCCCAATGGGCCTGTTAAAAAAATTTGGTGGATATAACAAATGCGGTTCTGGGTTTTCTGCCGCAACTCTGCATCCCTCTGGCATTCGTTTTTAGTCAATCGTGATCTATCTTTGGATTGCAATTAATTTATGTATTTTTACAGTTGTGTATCATGATTTAGGTCTTGTATCTTGGCAATATCAGGAATGAAAACCCAGTTATTTTAATTTCAGTGACATACAGTGTACTTTTGTTTTGCTTTCTTTTCCTTTAAATATGGTTTTGTGATTTGCTATACTTTGTGCACATGCCGTATTAGTGGAATATGATTCTTTGATTTAATTTTACTTCATCATTTGTTTGTTTAGCATATAATAGAATTTACAAGTCCAAGAACTGCGATTAGATGGTTTTTTATTTGTTGACACGACAGGGTTAAGAGAGGGTCTAGGAATTTCACATTTTTGGAGCTGTTCATGTGGAAATTTAAAATAATTTTAATCGCTATATTAGTTCTATCCATCCTTACAATTTGTTGATTTTGCCCAGTCAGTTATTGTTAATGGGCTAAGGGTCTTTGGAGATGGGTTATTTGTTAATGGGCCTAAAATATTTTTTTTCTCTTACTGCATTCATTTCCATTGTTGATGGTATGATACCTTGAGGAGTTATAAAGTATGTAATGAATGATATTTCAAATATAAAGATTATTATAATCGTAATTTTCCATCAAATAGCATGACTGTAACTTACAATCACAACAGTATAAACCTATATATTGTATTTATAGTTTTTTTGGTTTAATGAAGTTTTATCTGATGTTTTTCTCTTTTTAGACATTATTTTAATTTATTGATTTATATAACTACATACAAAATTACGGGAGGTTAGTGTTTATCGAAAAGAATAAGTGGTGTTATATTATATTATTATTATTATATAAATCAAAGGAGGTTTGTATACGATAAAAAAGGAGGATATGCAAGACAAGATTAATGCTTTATTTGCACGAAGGATGAATTTTTTTTTAAAAAAGTAATAAAATAGGATGATGAGAAAACATAAAAAAGATGTAATATTTGGATGAGCAAAAATAAGAAATAAAGAAGTGAAAAAAATCTATTTATTTGTTTGAATGAATGAAAAGAGTGAAAAATATTGCATCTTTTTATAATAATAAAAAATTTAATCCTTATAATATAATAATTTTTTTATACAGAAAAAATATTTTAAGTTTTATAGTTTTGTGACATTAAAAAATGATTTAACAATAAAATAAATTAAAAGTAATAAAATAGGATGATGAGAAAACATAAAAAAGATGTAATATTTGGATGAGCAAAAATAAGAAATAAAGAAGTGAAAAAAATCTATTTATTTGTTTGAATGAATGAAAAAAGAGTGAAAAATATTGCATCTTTTTATAATAATAAATTTTTTTATCCTTATAATATAATAATTTTTTTATACAGAAAAAATATTTTAAGTTTTATAGTTTTGTGACATTAAAAAATGATTTAACAATAAAATAAATTAAAAGTGCACAACCAACACACCCCCCCCCTCCCCATCCCCCCCCCCCCCCCCCCCCCCCAAAAAGCCTCTCATTTCTCCAGCTTTGGAAGATTATTTTAAATGGATTCCAAAAAGTGATCTATGTCAACCAATTTATTCAAACTAATCACAATCAATTTAATAATAAAGCAATGTCCAATCCTGCGAATTTGATGGTCGCAGGTGGCTTTGTGGGTGAGCTATTTTTTGTAAGGTGGGGTTACCCTCACTTTCTTTTCTTTTTTTTTCACGACAGTGCCCTTGTTAACATGTGTGAATTATCGGTGGGCTAGAATTTAAAAAGAAAATTAATTATATTTTTAGTCTTTATATTTTAATATATCTCTTGATTTTAAGTATTTATATTCAATTTTTAAATTATTATATGCATGATTTTGATTTCTTTAATTTTAAGTATTTATATTTAATTTCTTTTGTCTTTTAAATCTATAATTTTAGGTCCCTTTAATTATTTAAATGTAAGATTTTAGTCTTTTTTATTTTAATTATTCACATTTAATCTCTTTAATTTTTTTAAAGGTTCAAACTAAGTTCTTGATCTTAAAATTGTATTCAATAATTAATAAAAAATATAATTAAAGTAAGACATTTTATTGATTTATACAAATAAGTAAAAAAAGTGTCTAAAATATTTAAATAAAATTTATAAATATATGATAAAATTCTTAATAGAAAACTTAATTTAAACATTTAAAAAATTATGAGACTAAATATGAAGAACTAAAATTAGAAAAACCAAAATCACATATTTGAAGCGTTAAGAGAGATTAAATGTGAACAATTAAAACTAGATGAACTAAAATAATATATTTTAAAAATTTAAAGGATTAAATATGAACAATTAAAATTAAATAGACCAAAATTATATATTTAAAAAATTAAAAGGAATAAATATGAGCAATTCAAATTAAGAGAATCAAAATCACATATTTTATTACGTAAAAAAATATTTTATTTTTAAAATTATAAACATAAAATATTTTTAAAATTTAAAAATTATTTTCATTTTTCTAAAGCTATTCATTTAATTCTTTTTATTTTCATTTTGTATAAAATTAACTAAAATAAGTACTATTTTATAATTAAATTAAAGTAAGATTTAATAAAATTAAATATTAAATTGAGGCTTTTTTACATGTATGCAGCTTTTTTATTGTTAAATTACACATGTGACCCTTTTTTTTTTTCCCTTTACATAAATGTCTTGAAATATAATAACAGAAATCGATTATATACAATTTTTAAATAACATTGTTGCTTTTGAAGAAGCTGATTGAAGTCGACTTCTATTTTTTAAAGGAGTCAATTTTAATCGACTTTGCGCTAGATTCAAATAAGTCGATTAGAATCGACTTTCATATTACAATAAAAACGGTTAAAATCAACTTTTGTTGACGTTATTTAAATGACTACTGTATACTCTGATATGTATCGTTTTAATGATACACTTTTATCTTCTTTTTTTTTTATTCAAGCATAGTGATGTAAGACATTTATGTTTAACTTGCTGTAAGTTTTAATGTAATTTAAAATTTATCATTTTTATATATGATTAGTTTAGCTTGGTTAAATAAATCGATTTGTGGTAGACAATAAGCCCATAAAAAATATATATTCATTAGGAATCAAGGCGATAAATAACAGATATACTACAACTCATTAAACTTAACACCAAAGATTCTTTTACAACATAACACAGTAAATCAATTATTTTGGCTAAAGGATGGAGCATGTGGGCATGTCCGTTTAGTGTGACCGTTACCTCTACACAATCCACATCGTTTTCCTTGTCTCAAATCATTTTCATCCATTTTATTGTGAAACCTCGTTGAAACCGACCGACCCTCAAGACTTCGCTTAAGTGTAGGATTTGGTCGTATAGGAAGGCCAATGTATGGTGACCACATATCTTCATTAGGAATTGAAGAGAATTGTGCTTTGTACACATTGAACACAGACTTCATGGTGTAAACATCGTGAACAAAAGAGGTCCAATCCCTTCGAGCGTCAGAGCACGCAGCGAGTGCATGACAACATGGATAATGTAACTTTTGAAATTCTCCACAGTCACACAATCGCTCTGTTAAATGCACCCTAAATTCCCATTGACCACGACTTTCCATGTTATCTCTTTTAAACACCAAGTATTCTAACGCATCTCGGGTCACTTGAGTGGTACTCATATTCCCAAAGTGTTTCCTATGCTCCTCAATTGCATTTAACAATGTCTATGAAATTTTTTTGCCACTAGTAAGTTGCGTCTTTGCCTTTGTTCCTTCTTTTATGAACAACTCAATAAGACGATAATATGTTGACTTAACTATGGCTGTAATGAGAAGATTATGAGTACCTTTCATGACCGCATTCATACACTCTGATAGATTAGTAGTCATGTGCCTAAAGCGATGACCCTCATCAGCATATTGAGCCCACTTTGCATGCGGTATGTTGTTAGCCCATGCACACATCGCGGGATCTACTTCACTCAATGCTCTAAACCAATACAAGAAATAATGTTCAGTCTTTGCATATGTTGCATTCAACAACAATCGCTTTGCATCTTTGTTCTTGAACTTTACTGCAAAATTTGATACAATGTGTCGCGAACAATATGCATGATAGGCTGAAGGAGGATGCCACCCACTATCTGTTGCTTCTAGAGCTGCTTTGATAGCATGATGCCTATCAGATATGACAAGTATGCCCTCTTGTGGTGTCACATGCTGACAAACATTTCTTAGAAAAAAAGACCATGCTTCTTTTGTCTCTCCCTCCACCACTGCAAATGCTATTGGCAAGATATTTGAGTTGCCATCTTCGGCAATTGCCATCAATAATGTTCCACTATACTTGCCATACAAGTGTGTCCCATCAATTGAAATCAATTTTTTGCAATATTTGAATGCCTCTATGCATGGTGGATAAGTCCAGAAAAGACGATGAAACATAAAGCAACCATAATCTACAAAATCACCAATATGGTATGGTTCACTTTGCACTTGGACAATAGTACCTGACATATAAGACTGCAAGCCACCCAACCATCTTGAAAGTTCATTATACGATTCTTTCCAATCTCCATATTTCATAGCAATAGCTTTCTGTTTGGCGAGCCACACTTTTCTATATGTTGTCTTGAACCTCAACTCTGACTCGACTGATACTTGTAAAGCTTTGATTGGCGTCGTCGGATCTGCTTGGATCATCGAGTATATGTAAGCACAGATAATATTATAATCCATCTGAGCATGTTGATTCATAGACTCTGGAAAGACACATTTGTGTGGTCCTGTCAATTTTCGCACTTCCCATAACTGCAATTTCTAGCAAAAAGTGATACGTGTACTCCAATTATAGTCAATGTCAAACTTAACACACTTGCAATAAAATTTTATATGGTCAGATTCATAAACTTTATACTGAACACCTCTTCGGATGTTGTAATTTTTAATAGCAAACATCACTTCATTTTTAGAGCGAAATACTTGACAAGTGACAAATCACTATCTCGCCCTATGCTCGAACTTAAACTAGACTCACTCACGTTATAGTGCATTGCAGCTAAATCAATTATTGAGTAGTGACTAGGATGATGTCGACCTTGAGATTGGGATTGGAATTGAGATTGCGATATCAAATGTTCATCCAAATTCTGCACATTACGCAACTGTTCATCTTCATCATCATCAATGTCCTCTTCTTCATCATTCTCAGTATCCTGTTGTGTCACAACAAAATCAAAATCTCTGACCAAGCTACCTTGTCTCATTTCCTGTGAATTAAGAGATAATGGATTTTCAATGTCTCTAACAAAGTACTCAAAACTTGGAGAATCAACCTCATCATGTGAATTGTACATGTCATGGTGGGACATCTCAACTAATGGACTAGCATTTGATATAGAAGGTGATGGATCTGGGACTGAGCCTCCAGAGCTAAAATGATCACCTTGTAATTTGACAAAAAACTCTATTGTACGAGCTTCAGCAAATGAGTTAAAATAATTAAACAAGTGATCAATGTGCTCATATTTTCGTATTCGCCACCTTTTATATCGAATACCATGTGGCACAATATCAACCGACATCTTATAGAAAACCTTTGAGACTTTTATATTGTTTCCCTCATACTCCTCCAGTATTTGGCTCTCCAACTGTAGCAAAGTAATTGGGGGGCGGACAACTAACCAAGCCTGATAGTTGCTATGAAACGTCTCTCCCTCCACCATGTTTACAATCTCACCATTATAATATATAAGCACATGAACATCATTCTCTCCCATTTTACTGAAAATACACTCAATTGGTTGATTTTTTGAATAATTTGATGCGAACTCTGGAACCTCTGTGTTATTATAAGCGAAGACGAATGGAATTATAATGGAAAGTGATTGTCAAAATTGAAATCTATTAAAATCAACTTCTGTGTTAAAGAGAAATCTATTAAAATCGACTTCTGTGTAAAGGAGAAATCTATTAAAATTGACTTCTATGTTAAAGAGAAATCTATTAAAATTGACTTCTGTGTAAAAGAGAAATCTATTAAAATCGACTTCTATATGAAAGATAAATATGTTAAAATCGACTTCTGCACATATTGACAGTCGATTTAAATCAACTTCTATACTAAGTCTGAGCTAAATTCACATAAATCGATTAAAGTCGACTTATTAATAAGTCGAAAGTCGATTAAAATTGACTTCTGATTAAAAAAAATTCTAAATTTTAACCAAAGTCAAATTTTAATCGACTTCAACTATAATATTTTTAGGACAAAATTGTAAACTTTTTTAAAAGAGGACATTTATATAATTAATTTTTAAAATTATTTTATTTACGTAAAAAATCTATTAAATTGATTGACACTTTTAATTTTAAAGACTAAAATAAATATTTACTTGAATTTGAATCATTATTGAGTTGCAGTATAGAGTAAAATGACTTCATTATAATGCCACAACAAATGGTGTGGGATGCTATCCAATTTAAGTAGCTAAATACAGAACCTTGGGTTCGAAATTTAGGCCTTTTTTTTCTTTTCCTTTTCCGAAAGCATTTCGGTTGTGGTTTAGTTTGTAATTGTAATTTATAACTGAAACTTCACTTTGAATTTGCAGTGGTCTATTGAGACTCATCAATGCTGTCCTTTATGTTCATGACAAATATTGTTTGGAAAAAATTTTAAGTGCAATTTTATATGTATTTTAAATTCTATTTTTTTCTGACTTTTAGTGTTAACTTTCGTTGTAAAAATTATTGAAATAAATTATAGTTTTAATTAAAGAATAATATCTTAAATACTTATAATATATGATAAAATTTATGATATCTCTTATAATTGAGAGGGTTTAATACCCTGATATATGAAACAATTGTCATCATTAATCTTATATTAATAGATAGTAAAATTAGTAATTTAATTAAAAAAGGTGTTAATATCTTTTAATTCTTGAAATATTAGAGAAATATCTTTTCGAATTTACAGATATTATATCAAGCATCATAATATATACTTAAAGTTTTGTATATAAAAGATTTCTAAGTTGAAATTTGTAATGCAAAGAATTTGATTTCTCTTAGGTGTTTGAAGAATGATTGATTTGTTAATGCTAGTGTCATCAACTAATATCCTATCACTATAGTCTTAAATTCTTTATATCTGAAAACACTTTCTATACATAACAATTGACTTTGGTGATTGACTCAAAATAGTATTTATATACTGAATTAATTAAATTAAAAAATTACAGCAACATGTGCAGTTTAAAATTTATATATATAGTTTGTGATTTTTTATATCTTGTACATAATAATAATATAAACTGTAATAATTTTTGCTTAAAAGTTTATAAAGTAGTGCAATAATTGAGTATTAGAATTCAAGTTTTTAATGATACTGTTTATCGTGTAATTTCTTCAAAATGAGATTGGCTCAACTTTCATTATTTTTTTCTTTTTCTGGTAATGCGTGTTAAGTGATGATTGGAATTATTCAACCACACATTTCAACGTTGGTGTGATTTTTATATGAAAAATTATTGTGAAAGTAACCTTTAGCAGTTGCTCTTTATATATATAGTATTTCTCTTCGTTCACTCCCTAAATTTTTTATTGATTGTATCTGAAGGTTAAATAAATTTTTAGTTGTTTAAAATGTGATTTTCTAATTTCATTATTGCAATTTTTATTGATTTTTAATTTTTGGTGAGAATTTAAAATTAGTTTTTTATTAAATGTAGGAACTAAAAATAAAGAATTTATAAGATTAAAACCATATTTATGTCATGCTTTATAACAACAAAATTTTTAAAATATAATAAATATCTTAAAAATACTATTAAAAGAAATTTATTTAGTGTTTCTTTTTTCAAAATTGATAAGAATGAATTGAACGATGATCAATAAAGAATACTTACTGCGATAGTATTTTTAAAATAAAAGATATAACATTTATTGGAAAGATTCTTTGAGTTTTATTTAAAAGTTAGAAGAGAAACGAAGGGAAGAACTTAAAAGGTAGAGGAAGAAGTAGATAATTAATACAAAACTTTAAATTAAAATAACTTAAAAATATGAGACTAAGAAAATTTTAAAATATTTATAAATTTTTTTTAATTTAAAAGCTCTTATATATAGCTAAATATTAAATAAAATTTTTTCTCTTATTTTCTTTTTTCAAAAAATTAACTTCTAAAAAAATTTAATTCTCAAATCAAGCATTTGTTTAAAATGTCTTAATTTTAATTTTTATTATTTTAAATATTTAAAAATTTAAAAAATTATACATTCAAACACACTATTGAAGTATGAGAGTGAAACTATATGGCATGCTAGCACGGTCTTTTAATTAAAAAAACGTGAAATTTAATTTATTATTATTATAAATTTTTTTAATTTTAAAAATTATTCATCCAAACACATGATAAAATTTGATGCTTCTCATCGATACTAATAATGCTATCCTGAGTATGTTTAACAAGATATTTTAAATGGTTTAAAACTTATTTTGTTTGTTAAAAAATTTGTTTAATAAAAATAGTTCTGTTTGATGAGGTAGTTAATTATATAATTATCAGTTTTTTTAATATTAATTTAATTATTTTTTAAAATAACATTTTTCGATTACTAGTTAAAAGTGATTTAAAGGAATAGTCCGTATTAATTTATAATAATTCTTTCTTTTATCTCATTAATTTGTAAAACTTTACAATTTTTTTCTTTCATGTTCAATTTTTTTAAAACCACTTTCATGTATTAGAGATGTCCATTGAATCAAATAAATCAATAAATCCTGAGATCTAAATCAATCCAAACTGACATTTAATGGGTCTAATCTGATCCAAACTGAGTAAATTTAACATGGTTTGATTTGAATAACATATTAGTACTGTGCCAACCTGTAAATTCAATGATATATCTAATGGCTTTTTTATTAAAATATTATAAATTAAAAAACTATTTCTTAAAATATATATTTTCTGAAACTAATTTCCTGTTTGAAGTAAATTTTCCACGTCGGTTACGAATTTCGCCAAAATGGCGGGTGAAAAGAATAAATTTAATTATTTTTAATAAAGGTTTCACCAAAATAATAGCAAAAGTGGAGTATTTCGCATTCCTAATGGCGAAAATGCAGACTTTCACCATTTGCAAGGCGAAACTGGTGGTTTCGTCATTTGGTTGGCAAAATTTGTATCAACTTTCGCCAATAGCAGGGTGAAACTTGCATTACTTTTCGCCATTTGCAGTGCGAAACTTGCACAGCTCCACCCCACCCCCTCCTATAAATATGCCCCGTCCTCATACTACATACACCCCCACTTTCAGCTTTCTAGTTTCTTGACAACTAACATTTAAAAAGAAACAGATCGGTTTTTTATTTGGTTTCTTCATTTCATATAAATTTATGAATGTAGTTTTTTTTTTTTTGTAAATATAATTTCCTTGTATATTTTTTTTATGAGTGCGTATATTTTTATTTTATTGATATTAATTTAGAAAAAAATAGATATTAAATAAAATTTATTTGAAAAAATGCAGGATGAGTGGACATGTTATAATGATCTATTGGAATTGTAGAATCTATGAAGGGAATGAAGGTGTGAGTTTTGAAGGAAGAAAGAAAATGATTCCGATAAAGCGAGGAATAAGTTTTGAAGTCTTAAAAAGAAAAATTCATTTGAAACTCAATCTTAATCGTAATGAAGTTATTTCTAGATTAATTTCACGTTTTTTGATTGATAGAAATAATAGACAGTATACAGCCTTGGATATTTGTGATGATGAAGATATTGATTGTATGATTAGTACATTTCAACAACAATCTGGTAAAAGTGTTATAGAGTTGTATGTAGATATTGCTATTGGTGAAAGTTCCGTCGCAGATGATGAATTTAAATTTATCACTTTCACAGCAAAATAATGGGACGATTTCGAGTCATGATTACTATGTAGGTAATATGAATTACTTTATAATGAAATTTATTAATATATGTATTTGTTAGATAAAAATTAATATATTTGTTGCAATAAAGGAAATAGGATTGAAGTTGATAAAGTTGACGAAGATAATGAAGACCCAGATTATGATAGTTACAATGATGAAAGTGATGAAGGAGAAATTTTAATAGACAGTTCTTCTTCTACTGATATTGAAGGCGAGTTTGATTCTAACTTAAATATACAAAATAACAGATATGGTAGAAAATTTTTTGTTTTTCATGAGTAAATGTTGATAATAATTTTTCAAATTTTTGCAAATTATGATGCAGGAGATACTATAATTCCTTTTTGGAATACTACTCCACAATATAAGTATATTAATTGGGAACATGAAGAGATGACTGAAGAAAACTCTCAGGATGTAAATTCATGGGTTGAAGGAGATCCCTTATTCGTTGACTTGTTATTTGATGGTAAAGAAGATGTGAAAAATGCATTAAAACATTAGGCAATGAAAATTCATTAAAATTATTTTGTGGCTGAGTCTAAATCAATGTGTTTGTATGTGAAATGCTTGAACCATACTTCTGGTTGTCCATGGAGAGTGAGGGCTTCATTGTTAAAGAATTCAAACAAGTGAAAAATTACTAGATGGGACTGTTCACATACATGTGTGAATCTTAGAATTTCTCAAGATCATCAAAAGTTAGATTCAGACTTGATATGTTCATGCATTAAGACAAATGTTTTTTATATGTTCATAATTTTATGTTTGATTATCTATACAATTTGAATTGTTTTTAAGTAAATCAAATTAATTTGATGTAGGAATGGTGAACGA